TTTCTAATTCTGCTACATCCTCTACCTGAGCACCAGGCTGACGCATTCTTTTTTCCCATGTGTCAATTTTTTGCCTACGTATACTAGTCAGACCATGTCCTCTTTTTGCTTTTTCAAAATGCTCTATTACTCGTTGGGCCACACAATTAAGTGCACCATCTTTCATTAGCATTAATCAATTACTATCTGGCTCTCAGATTCTATATAGCCCATAGATAACTGCATTAGCAGTAAGTTTTTCAAAATCAGAGCTTTTAATTTGAATTTTTCTAACTAAAAACTTTCTATCAATTCCAACCCAAAAGCCTGGTTCGTCTTTTTTGTAAGAATAACATTTGGACCTCCTGTAACGAATTTCTTACTAGCCTTTTTTGACTCACGTATGGGCTCATATTTGTCAACGATTTTGAAATTATCATTATTTGGCCAAATAAATTTTACCCTTATAAGAAACCTATCATCATCTATTGCATTTAAAATTTTCTTAGCATGCTCTTCAGTCATTCCAGCTTCATACATTTCCTCTTTCTCTATTGCAAACCAGGTTAAAAATGTATATTCAGCACCATCTACCTTAAACATATCTTTTGCTGTCTGAATTCCCTTTTGCTATACTTTTTGATGCATTTCATCATCTGGAAATAGGACCGGCCAAGACACTTTTTTATCTATATCTTTTGGATCATCTTTAGACTTATCCCTTTGGTCAATGATTGCAGGAGTTGGGTTTTCTTTTGCGATCTACTAGAAGTCTTTTCCATTAAATCAAACCATTCTGTATCTGTTTTTGGAATCTTTTTATTAATAATAGTTGGGTTGTTTTTTATTTTAGGATTCGCTAGCCAGTTGGCCAAATCCTCTATGAATAAATAAGTAGCTTCCTTTTCATGAATATGGACTATAGGAGATAGGGAGCTGGGTACTGGTGTTTGAGGTCTGGATACATTAAGATTAGATAGCTGAACTGGATTAGATATTTGGAGTTGCTTATACTTAAACTTTCTGTTAAGATGATTTGTTAAATCACGAGTCTTTTTAAAGTCATTCTTTTCACATCAAGAGCATTGAAGTACTATTTTTGATAGTAAGTGAAACAATTTAGCTAATTGTATTAATAGTACGAAAACTTTGTTCAAAAAATAATTAATTATTTCTCTCTTGATCTGTCAATCGACAGAGATAGCCTAACCTGATAGCTATTTTATTCGGGGTTTTTTTTTTCGAATTTATAAGAAAAAAAGGTTTGTAGCAAACCAACTAGCTCTGAACCTGGCCTTTGCAGAAAACATGCTAATGGTTACTATGTAACCCAATATATTAATAGGCTTTGAGATAGAGCAACTGCCTTCTCATAATTTTATCCTGTTTTTTCGGAGTAAAAAATAGGTAAAAATTTTTTAACCAGAGTTATATACAAAAAATTTACATCTAGTCTGAAAAATTTACACCTAATCCGTTTTTTTTTTACATCTAGCCTGATTTTTTTTTTATACACCCAGTCTTCCCGCATTCCCTGCTGACTTTTTTTTATTTGCCTCTTGCTAACAAATTAATGTTCTTAAGATTAACAAGGCTTTAAATATGCAAGAAAACAAATTTATATTCTTAAAGTTAATAAAGCTTTAGATAAATAAGAAAACATATTACTTTCCTTTAGATTAAGAAGACTTCAGGTAAGCAAGAAAACAAATTAGCGATCTTAATGAGTAGAAGGCGTTAAAGAGCATTCCTGGTATATAAAAATTTACACTATCATATAGACTTTCTAGCCTGATTTTAAGACCAAGTAGGATAGCAAAAAATATATCATTTTTTATATATGATATTAAGGCCCAATAGGTGGAAGAGTATATTAACCAGGTATATATTTTTTTTTACTTGGTCTGCCCGTGTGTCCTGCTCAAGTACTCTATTGCTGTATTAGCCTTGTAGTTTTCTGCAATCTAAAGATCTTATTCATGTACTCATATATTATACAAATACTCTTGAGATCTTCTAGTTCTGATAAATTGATACGATCATAGTTATAAGGTCTCAAGTTTTCTTAGCTACAACGATAATTACCGAATCTGTTTTTCAAAATTCAATTTTTGCCTTCAGTGAGAATTGAACTTGTATTTAACTGCTTGGGATGCAACAACTTCACCACTTCACTAAATTACCACACTCTTTATATTTTTTTTATTTTGATAGTCTTGCTAATGATTTTTTATTAAAATTATATTATTAATTAAGCAAAATATTTAGCTTAATATCCAGACTATACATACTACTAAAATAGATTTTTAAAAAATTCTATTTCATTTTCATTAAAGCAAATTAGAATTTTTTATATACAAGAGCAAATCTAATTTAGATAGTTATATTCTTTATAATTTTATCTTT